GGCTGTCCCAGCCCTGGCCGTTGCAGCCATTTGGAGTGAACCCACAGATGGAAGATCTCTCTCTTCCTCTCTCTGCCTTTCAAATAAAATAAATCTTCAAAAACAAACAAAAAAATAGTGCAAGATACCTATAGTAGGCTGTTGTCTATGTTTGTAAAAAGCCCACAGAAGCAAACAAAAGCCACAACGTGTCCGACCGGAGAATCAGAATCCTGGGAGCTGGGGCCGGGGCGGAACGAAGACTTCCCCGGCTCCTGCAGACCCGGGCAGCTTGCGCTCCAACAGCCATCTTGCAGAAGGACACCGAACCACGGCGGAGCGCACTCTGCCGTCGCCAGCGCGCGGGTGCCACCCTCACTTCCCCGGGCCCCACAGCGGGAACCCGTGGCTGGGCTCGGGGTGGGCGCCTGCAGCGCGGCCCCTGTGAGCCTCTGTGCCCGCTGCGACCCTGGCTCACACACCCGCTCAGCACACCCCGGGGAAGAAGTCGTGCCCTGGAGCGAGCGGCCAGCCCTCTCTCACACAGCCCTCTACAGGGAAGAAGTAGAGAAAGATGGCTCAGGACTCGAGAAGTGCACATGGCTGGAATCACACAGAACCCCAGTCCGTCCCATTCGGCGGCTGAGGGGTCATGTCAGAATGGAAGATCCAGAAACTTCCATGGCCCGAACAACATCAGCCCCCACCTCACTGGGAGCAAGCCCTAGGGGCCCCATCCCACTCATTCCAGCCACAGGGTCCTCACTGCTCTTCAGGGATAACCAAGCACAACTCACCCCAGGGCCTTTGCATGGATGCTGTCCACCGTGGTGTCTCCTCCTGCAGGTCGCTGCGTGCCTTGCTCTCATCAGCAGGACTTCGCCCGATTTTTAGTGGCACGACTCCATCTGGAAGATCTATTCCTTCTATTTTCTCCAACTGCAGGTCAAGAGGGCCGGGCTGCAGCTGCCAGGGTTTGTGGGGCTGAAACCACCAGAGACCGTTCAGGCTGCTCAGGATGGGTGCCTCAGAGGCAGCAGGATGACCGTCTTCAAGTACCTGCGGGGTCACCTGGGACAGGAGCCGAGGGGCTCTGTGACACCAGAGGCTGGGAGGCGAAGGCCAGGTTTGCACTTGGGTTTTGCTGCCCTTAATTTCCTGCCAGCAGCAGGTGGTCTCTGCGAGTCGGCACCCAGTGTGATGACACAAGCGGGATGGAGCTGAGGGCTGACTGGATGGAGATGCTGGCCAGAGACCCCCCTCCACCCCCCGAAGGAGCCAGGGGTGGAGATGCTGGCCAGAGACACCCCCCAGAAGCCAGCCTGCCCTGAAGACCAGGCCGTGGGCTGCTGTGGTTGGCGGCACCCCCAGTGTTAAGGAGGAAGCAGAGGGGGAATCCTGTGCCACGTGACAGGTGGACTTGCCCTGGAAGGCTGGACTGCACAGGCAGCGCTCTCGTCCCTTGTGCAGAAAGATCCTCCATTTAGGAAAGGAGCCCAGGGCCAGCACTACGGTGCAGTGCGGTTAAGCCACAGCCTGCAGTACCGCCATCCCATATGGATACTGGTTCAAGTCCTGGCTGCTCCACTTCTGATCCAGCTCCCTGCTAATGGCCTGGGAAAGCAGTAGAAGATGGCCCAAGTGCTTGGGTCCCTGCATCCATGTGGGAAACCTGGAAGAAGCTCCTGGCTCCCTATTTTGGCCTGGCCCAGCCCAGGGCCACTTCAGGCATTTGGGGAGTGACCCAGCGGATGGGAGACCTCTCTCTGTCTTTCCTTCCCTCTCTCTGTAGCTCTGCCTTTCACATAAATAGATAAGTCTTTAAAAAAGAAAACCGAAAAAGACAGGAGCCCACGGAGAGACCGGAGGAAGAGGAGGAAGTACTCGCCCACGGCACCAGTGTCCTGGGGTGGCTGTGGCAGAGAGCCACACCAGAGAGGCTCAGATGTCCACCGTCGCCCGGTCCCAGAGGCCACAAACTAGAATCAAGGCGTCAGCAGGGCCCCTCTGAACCCCACGGAGAATCCTGGCCCCGCCCGCTCCGGGGCGGCCACCCCGGGGCTTGTGCTGCATCCCTGCAACCTCCATTACCAGCACCACGTGGCCTTCTCCCCTCCATGTCCGTGTCTCTCGCATCTTCTAGTAAGGACGCCAGCCCTGCAGGATCGAGGCGTCCCTCCCCGAGGATGCTACTTCCGAACCCCAACAGCCCCGTTCCCCAGCAAGGCCCCATGCCCGGGGATCAGGACTTGACCTTGAACGTATCTTCCCCAGGGTACAACTCATTCCATAATATCCTCAGAGACCCCAAGGCCCTTAAGCCTCAGCAGGGGCCAGAGGCCAGGGCATCCCCGTCCGCCCACCCGACTCACTTCTCACTCACTGAGCAAGCATCGCTCCTTGGCGAATGCTTAGAAGCCAAGAGCAACACCGCTTGTGTCTTTAAGAAAGAACAACAAGGAAAAAAACCACGGAGATTTGACTGTAAACACGCTTGACAAACCTACCCCTTGGCCAGGCCCTTGGAACCGTGCCTCCCCACCCCCACCCCCAAGATGCTATCCAAAAGCAGCAGGGAAACCAGCGTTTACGACCCTGCCAAAAATAATTGAGCGTCCCAAGAAGCCATGGGCTCTCGTGTACCGGCAATTTCTAAAAACCCTAAGGTCAGGTTTGTTTCTGTAGAAGATCGTGTTCCAGGTTACTGGCAGACAAAGACTTGGAAGGTGTGATAGGCCTGGCATGAGTACCCACCTCCAGCCAGATGCCAGCCCGGGCTTGGCAAAACAGGGAAGGGGTCGCGTCTGCATGGCCATGTGTCCCCAAGCCCCCTGCAGTGGTGACCTAAAGATTTCAGAGCGCAAACGAGCACCGTCAAGCGGAACGGAAGCCCGAGGTGTCTGTCACCATGACCCCAGAACAGCCTCTACCCCGGGGCCTGCACGGCCCAGACAGCTGCTCGGGAAAGCACAAAGCAAACCTCTGCTGGTCTCCAAAGGGCAGAGCCCTGTGCCCGTGGCCTGCTGGTCAGGGCCAATGGGAAGCCCCTTCAGGACCCTCAAAGGCCCTCACCTTGGTGACCGAAGGCAGCTCCCTGCAAGTCCAGGCGACCTTGCAAAGCGAGGCTGATTGAACCGCCAGAGCCCTCGGCACAGCCTCTCCTGCCACGCGGGAGGAGGAGGGCTTCTCTCTGCTTCTCACCCAGCCGTGACCCGCCATTATTTTGCTTTGTTTTTTGACATTCAAATACAGGAACGTTAAGTCCCTGACACTAGACCCCAGAAAGAAAAGGAGGGCCCTGTTGTGGAGTCTGCTCAAATGAGAAACAGACGGAGCACCCCTCTTCCACGGGCCAGAGCTTAAATTGAGCACACGTGGAAGATAAGCCAACCACGCGCCGGTGGAAACCGCCTCTCTGACCTCCCGGCAACCCGCAGGTGTGCCACCCGCGTGGCAGGAGGGCACCGCCAAGGCCCCAGGTGTCCGGACAGGCAGTCCTGCCGAGGCTCCAGCGCGTAAGGGAACTGCGGACAACACGTGCCTTCCTTTGGTTCTAGCGGCACCGAGAACCTGTCTCCGTGAGCTCTCCCGCTCGGCCTGAGAAGCCAGCCCAGCCGGCCCAACAGCCTCAGCAGGGGCACAGAGCACAGGGAAGAGGGGGGACCTCCCCACCAGTCCGCACCAGGCCCACGAGGCAGGGCCAGGTCTGCCTACCAGACGCCGGAGGGCCGGTGGGAGCGGCTCAGGTCTCAGGGGGCCCCTTGAGGGCAGTGGGCTGTTTCGATGGCATCGGCTGAGAAGCGTCAGGAAGAAGGCCGTGCCATTGCCGGGCACCGAGCCTGGGGCACGCAGTGGCTGTCCCCTGCCCTTCCAGTGGGAATGGGGACGAGACGGCCAAGTCGGGAGCCAGGCATCACGACGCCCTGCCATCCTGGTTGACTCTGGGGTGTTTCCAGGACACGGTCTGCATCGCCATTCGGCACAGCTCCTAAAAGCCAGCCCAGAGTCCAAACGCAAGCCCGCTGATAAGAACACAGCCCTTTCTCCTTCGGCCCTCGGCCCCCACGGCTTCCTCTTAACACCCAGCATCTCAAATCTCAATTGAGAAATCACTGTCAACCCAGGGCCTCTTTCCACAGCATGAAAGCACAGCGACTGTGATCCTGACAGATCAGCCAGCTTAATGGGAACCTTCAGTGGCCAAGGACCGGCTGCCAAGAGCAAAGTATTAGGTTGGCAGGGCTTAAATTACTTAATAGCATCCAATGCCAACACAGAGCCAGGAACTGCTGCGTGTTCAGCGGAGAATTATGAATTAAGGCTTATGAGGCCGGGGTTGCAGCAATGGCCTTACCCAATGTGGAAAATCCTTCGGCTGCTACTTCCCTTTGAAGCCGGGACACGCATGCCAAACCATAAACATATCACTTCCTGGAGGATCCGCCAGGCCGCTCCAACTTGAAATCAAGCCCCGGCCGTGTGCATCTCAAGATCTTGCACACACTCTGCAAGCACACGGCCCCCACCAGCTCCTCCACTCCCCGAGCAGCACGGCACACAAAGCCCAGAGCCCTGGCTCGCCCCACGGGCAGGCAGGACCCGCAAGCCTTGGGAAGATGAGCATCAGCTACCAAGTCTAAAGAGGGAGCATTCCGGTTCCTTGCAAACCCTGACATCTAACCCCCACTGCTAAGCAAGCCCAGGAATACCTAAAGGCCTTCCCATCCCCCGCCCCTAGCATGCAGTAGGCAGTGACCGACTAAGGCAGCAGTGAGTCTGTTCTCATTAGGAGTCTCCGTTACTTACGCATTTCCCAGCACCCCTGGGGCAAAGGACAGTGCTCCGGGCAGGTGAGCACCACCGAAGCTGGCACAAGGCCAGCTGCACATGCGCGCTAGGGAGAGAAAGACGAGACTTCAGATCACGCACGACCATCCCACCCACCACGTTCAGAGCCCTGGGCAAGCCACTCATTCTGGAGGTTTCAAAAAGAACCAAATTATAGGCAGACTTTCACGGACTCTATTGAGAATACTTTTATTACACAGGTATCATACACGCAACAGTTACTGCGGGACCATTCATAGGCACGGAGCCCCATCCCGACCTCCGCTGCACCCACACACACTTCACCGCACGCTCCTCCAGCAAGGACACGGTTATTGCTTTCTGCACAGGGAGCTTCAGTTAAATAGAATCTCCAAGCCAAGAAGCGTCCAGCAGCGGCTTCATTCGGAATACCCTGTACACACGTGAATAACATCTACAGCTGTGTCACAGATGACCCCCACCACCGTTAAAAGTTAATATTAAAATCAGATCCCATTTTCAGAAAGTCAAGAAGTGCACCAGTATTTACAGACCCCATTAAATTACGCATAAATAAAATCTGTACACGCAACACACTGCTTCTCAACACACAGAGCCTGCGCGGGCACCTGGGGCCTGTGCCCGCCCTTTTCAAGTTTACTCAAAAGTTCAAGGTCTGAAATAAATACGCACATAAAGCTTCTGTACCTTAAGGAACATATCATTGCCAAGAGTCTCCCGGTGATTAAAGAGTTAACTTTCCACTTTTTTTTTTTTTTTTTTAAAGAGGAGAAGAGAAAGATCAGCTCTTCAGCAGGCTTTGTTTCTACAAGTTTCCAGAAACCAGAAGGCCCCCTCCGATGCGTGGCTTGAAGTGTGTCACACACCACCTAGCAACTAGTTACGAGCTGACCTCTGAGCGTTTTTGCGTAGGGAAGTACTTAGTGGACTTAAAAACCAGCCACTACCTTAACACTGAAACAAACACACACACAAAAAAAAGTTGAACGTGGATCTGAATCACCCATCTGACATTCCCACAGCTAAGCGCACGGTTTGTCGCTAGCCCAGGGAATGTACGTGGACAGTTCTGAAACTTGCAGCACCACTTTAAGAGAAAGGAAAAACAGGGTTAAAAAAAAAAGAAACAAAAGCGGGATGAGTGAAGAACCAGCATGGCCTTCTGATCACGCGTCCAAAGTCAGGAGACCCTTCGGCCACAGGAGAGCAGCTCGCGACCCGGAGGGCCGCCCGGAGGCCTTTCTCACAGCAAGGCGGAGGCAGGCTGAGCTCTGCCCCCAGGCCCCAGGGCGCCCGCGCTGGCAGGGAGGAGCCGTGTCCAGAGCAAGCCCATCTATTTCCTGTGCTTCTCCATTTTCTCCAGGGTTTTGTTCGAATCGGCCGGACTCTGGTCTGCGGGGTTCAGGTAGGATTTGTCTATGGCAGTCAGGGCTTCCTTGATGTAGTTCTGCAGGGCAGACACGGCGGCGCAGATGGCCTGGCTCCCGAAGCCGTGCGTGATGAGGCTGAAGTGGGACAAGCAGTTCTGGATGTTGGACTCCAGGACCGGGGTGGGCCTGTTGTTCCCGTTGGGCGTGCGGTCTTGATTGAGAAGGTCAGTGAATTCTTTGCACACCTGCCTGGGAAGACAGTCGGTGGGCCCCCCGTGAGCTCCAGCCAGCTCTGCCCAGAACAAAGCACCCTGGGAGCGACACGGGGGAGGCCAGCAGGTAACTGGATCAAGGAGGGAGAATTTAAACCGACGCCAAGGCCCAGCTGCTGCACCATCCTTAGCACCAACAAGGTGCCAGGCGGAGCTACACTCTGCAAGCACTCTCCTATTCAATCCTCATCGCCCTTAAAAAAGGTAACAGGATCATAGCCCCGTCCACCGTCACCAGGAGTGGTGAGGAAGGCGGGGCCAGGGTTCCTGCCCAGGAGCCTCTGGCGCAGCTGACTTTGGTACAACCTGGTCTCCAGCAGCAAATTCTGCCAGGACCCAGAGGTTCTCGCGTCCCCTCGGCAGCTCCTGCTCTCCCACGGGCTCCCTGGCGCCCCATTTGCTGTCCACCCTTACTGTGGGTTTCTGTGAGAAATCCTGCAGCTGCCATAAGCAGTTGTAGACAGCCAATCTGCCCTCAAGTCTACAAACCCACCCTGTTCTGCACATTTGAAAGACAAAAAGTCTTCTTATCAGGAGGCGGGAGGCACAGGCTCCCTCTTTACTGGAAGGGACAAAACAAATCCTTCTCACCCATTTTTATAAGCTATGCAAACACCACAGTGAAGGAGCTGCGACTGAGTAGCTCCCAAAACCCAGTGTGCTCTTGTCGTCATTATTTCCAGGGCATTTGTTCTTCGAGCCCGCGACACCCCAGTCGGGACACTTACTGTGCCGCCAGCAGCATGTTCTTCCTAGCGGCCATCTCGTTCCGTCCACCCAGATGAGGTCTGGTTAAATACTCGGCCACCGGTTTACTGGGAAATTCAGCCTCGCAGACGTACGCAAAGTCCCGAGCTAAATGAACGGCCTCGCCTAGAACAACCAGCAAAGAGCAGGGTCAGCAGGCCGCGGTCACCGCTACCAGCAAACTGCCCCTGCCCTGTCCCAATAGCACGAATCAAACTGTCTCCCGGTCACCCTCTGTGTTCTCTAAGGAAGCCATACGCAGGCAGACCATTCACACGCTGTGAGGGCAAAGACCCTGAACCGCTCTTATGCAAAAGACAGACACACTCCCACAACAGCCAGGGCTGGGCCAGGCTGAAGCCGGGCGCCAGCAACTCCATCTGGGTCTCCCACATGGATGGCAGGGGCCCAAGCGCTTGGGCCATCATCTGCCGCCTCCCAGGGTGTTAGCAGGGAGCCGGAAGGGGAAGCAGAGTGCAGCTGGGGCTCGAACCCCGGAACCCCTTTCTGGGATGCGGTGTCCCAAGCAGCAGCAAACGCCCGCCCACCTCGACCCCCAGATCTTTAACTACACTTGAGAAGCAATCAGCAGCCCCCGCCCAGGGAGGAGGCCCTTGCTGATAAAGAGCAGCAGTCACACCAGTGCCCACACCGGAGCAGTGCCCTCGGCAGGAGGGAGGGGAAGTTTAAGAGCATCTGACCAGCGAACTGGTCAGTTCTTAGACTACGACCACGCTTCCCTTTTAAGCCAGGGTGCCCCATGATGGGTGGGGGCAGGGAGAAGGGACCAAGAGCCCACCCCACCCCCGAGTGGCCTTCTTGTTGGCTCCAAGGTACAAGACCGGAGAGCTTTGGGAAAACCCAGGTGGTGGAGGGGCCCCCAGGGACATCCCCAACCCGAGGGTCGGAGCCGCGGTTCCGGCCCTCACTGTCTCCTTCAAGCTCCCCTGCCTGGCTGGGACGATGCCCAGCAGAGCCACACCGGGGCTCCCTGCACACGCAGCACAGCTGTCCCCCAAACACGCAGTTCTTTCTCCTCGCCCCACCCTCCGGAGGCACGCGTGACAAGGTACAGAAGGCTATGTCAGGTCTGTGAGCACCACAGCCACGCCATGAGGCCAGGGAAACAGCTGCCACCCCACCCCCAGCCCACTTCGCACCTGGCACCCAAGGAGGGCCGCAGGAGGCTGCGTCACCACGCAGCTCTACCCAACTCCGCGTCCCTGTGTGCAGGGACACCAGGCTCGTCTTGTTTGGTTTTGAAGATTAATTTACTTTTCTCTCACCCTCCCTCGAAGGGGGTGCTGCATTTTGGTACTTCCCAGGTGGGGAGAAAGCTCCCCCATCCCAGAAATATGGCACGGCCTCATCTGTGACCCTGGGACTGGGGGGGGGGGGGGCATGCCGTGGGCAGGGGCGTCCATTCCTGTCCTTCTGTAGGCAGGAGGAAGGGAGAGGACTTGTACATCGGGCCAGCCCCACTGCATTGGAGCGATTCTGTTCGAGCCACAGTCTCAGAGAGAGACAGTCACAGGGCAAAGTCACTTCAGCGTACCACGAGGTCGCCAGCTTAGTGGTTGCCAACAACCTCCAAACCATTGGTTCATTAAACAGGAAATGTGTGGACATTTCTTCAGCTAGGAAAACCCATTTCTTTCTAACACTGACTTTTCTGGGGAACCCACAGCACTTGAGCAGGCAGATACTTAAATGCTGGCTCACTGATGAAACTATCTCCATTCACTACAAACAAACTCAGGACCATTCAACCCACATCCCCCACCCCGTGCCGGGCTGTCACAGCTGCCTTTTCCTTGGAGAATACGAAAGCCACAACCCAGGTTGAAAGCGTCACAAAGCCACCGCCAAACGCCACCGACCTTCCACCAAGGATGTCAGCAGAGTCACGTGGGCAGCTTTCCGCCTGCCCGCCGGGAGGTTCAGCCCGATCTTGTCCAGCTTCTCCCGCAAGGACCGGCCTCCATTTTTAGACTTGGCTCTGGGGGAAGAGAAACCGAAGGTGGTGACACTCACAGAATGGCACTTGCAAAGCTCGGCTCCTAACAGGCTCCTGTCCACGCCGCAACCGGCACACTGTCTAGCACCGTGATCAAACGCGACACCGGGGTCTCTGTGCAATTAATTCCCATGAAAAATCAAAGCCCGTTCCACGCAGCATCTCCTTAAACAAAAACAAACACAAAACATGGCAGACTGCACCAGGCAGACACCATGTCGCGCCCTGAAAACACTCCCTGGGGGCACCACCCGCGGCGCTGCCCCCACTCCCCTGCACACCCAGGCTGCCTTCCCACCACGAATCAAACTTCGCCCAATGAGAATTCACTCGTGCTGTTTTAGCGCTTCCTTCCACATTTGGCACTTGCTAAAAGAAATGTACGAAAAGCTTGGAGCCGATTAGAATTCAGTGTTAGGTGGAAAAGTTACAGAAATGTTAAAAATACCACCCATTCTTTCCCTACTCACCTGAACCCACCCGACCGACCGACCCCCGGCCCCCCAGTACCTTCTGAGAACGCCCCCCAGCAGAGAGGCATTGAGGCATTCGGGCGGCGACAGTCGCCTCTGCACTTCAGCCACGGTCACTTTGTACTTGGACGTGGAGCTGAGCAGGGACAATCTTCCCGGGACCGAGCAGAAGACCTCACTGGGATTCATCACGGCTCCCACCAGCTCCTTCTGACAGGGCAGGCTCAGAGGGTTCTTGGTCATCGAAATGGGACCTGGGAGGGCGGAGGGCAGGGGGCAGAGCTGGCAGTCACAAGAGCCGCCTGGACCAGGCACCTTTTCAAAGCCCCAAACCACAGACCGGAGGACGCTGGACTAGCAGTGCAAGCAGCTTTTATTTTTTCTAAAGCCGTAGCCTCCCTCCAAAGATAAACCGAATCTGAAATTCACAAGTTAGCACCTAGGGAAGTTAATTAGCCAAGATCCCAAGCAGGAGGTTTTTCAGTTCCTGGCCGCTGTTGAAATCTTGTTTAATTAGAACACTCGTTTTGAGAAGAATGCCTCCATGCGAAATAAAGGGGCTTTTTTCACTCAATAACCAACCAAAAAAAAACACACACACAAAAAAAAAATCGCAGGACGGGCTCAGGCTCAGACACTTTGCCAAGACCCCTCAGTGGCACCGAACACAGCAAATTTTAAACACAAACTCACCCATTTGCTGGGAAACTTAGTTCATTTCCCAAGATTTTTCTCCCAACCAAGCCTGCACTTCTCCCCTCCACCTACTCAGGGGCTTCACTTCCCGCATTTCCTGGTGAAACCTGCCTCTCCGAACTTCAGGGCGGGAGCAACCCGCCCCGGGAATCCAATGTTCCCCCTCCTGCCCCTCCTTTATCCTGCCGAATCCCATCACCCCAGCTCCAAGCCTCTCAGGGCCGGTCACCGCTGGGCCACAGCCGGTTCGCACTTTTGTAGGCAGCCAGAATTAAGGCCCCTTCTCACCCGTGTGTTTGAAATCAGACGGAAAACCACATGGACTCCTTCAACGACTGTCACAGGACCAATCACTCCACTAAGGCGTGTGCCCGCGGTGTTCCCAAATTAACTCTCAGCGCGAACTCTCCCTGGAAAGCTTCCCCTAACTTTGCAACACTCAGCGAGCCGCAATTCCCAAGAAAGCCAGGCCAGAACCCCAAGTTCTAACCGGGGCCATTAGGGTGGGAACGTCCGCCGGGCTCTCCCTCCTGAAACCCCCCTCGCGGTCTCTCGCCAACCAATAAAGGTTGTTTTAAAAACGAAAGAACACACACCTGCCTTCCCGAGCGCGCGCCCAGGAGGCCCCCGGCCTGGGCCGGCAGACCCCGCCCTCCCCGCACGGGCCCCGCGGGGAGCAAGCCCCGCGCGCTCTACCTTTGCGGATCACGGTCTGGTCGTGCAGCAGCAGGTGCGGGTCGTCCACGTTCTGCGGGAGAAGCGACAGAGCGCCCTGTGAGCCCGGGGGAGCTCGGGGCCGGGTGGGGGGAGGCCGTGGGGCCGCGCCGCTCACCTGCACCTCCTCCATCGGGTGCGCCATGTCGTGGAGGCCCAGGTTCTCCGCCAGGCCCGCGGCGTCCAGGGCGTGAGCATGCGGCAGCAGCAGGTCCGAGCGGCGGAAGGCGTCCCTGCGGGCGCTCACGGCGCCCGCGTCCAGCCCCGAGAGGTGCGGGAGCAGGCCGGCCGGGCGCCCGTGGTGCGAGGCCAGGCCCGCGCCCTCCTGGCTCTGGCGGCCGGGCCAGGCCTGCTGTTGGCTGCCGGCGGGCGCGGGCTGGTGCAGGGGGTTGATGGCGGCAGCGTAGGCTTCCCCCAGATGCGAGTAAGGGTCGGCCGACTGCGAGTAGGCCAGCTGCTGGTACGGAGGCGGGAAGTAGGGCGGCGGCTGGTACTCGGCGACTCCGCTGTGGGAGAGCGGCGGCGCGGGGCTGTAGAGATGCTGCCCCGCCGAGGAGAGGTGGGGGATACGCGGGGTCCCATTGCTGCTCGCGTCGTGGCGGTCCTGCGGGAGAAAAGCATAAGACCCCGTTGGTGCGAAGCCCCCCGGCTGCAGCGAACCGGCGCTCGCGGCCGAGCCCAGCGGGGCGCCCCTGGGGGGGGACCCGCCCTGGGCCGAGGGCACCCAGGGGCATGGCGCCCCAGGGTTTTCGTCGTGCGCCGGGGACGGGGAGGCCGGTGCAAGACCTGGGGCAACGAGTCCTGAGCGCCCGGCGGCGGAGGTCTGGTGGCGCCCGAGGCGTTCCGAGGCGCCAAGTCCGAGCCCCAGGTCTTGGGCCAGGAAGGGCCAGGCCCTGGGCCGTGGCGGGCGCCGGGAGTAGGAGGTGGCCCGCGGCGCGCGCGGCTCAGAGCACGCTCGCTCTCCAGCCCGCACATGTCGGAGTGCCGCGGCCGAAAGAGGCAGGGAAGCCGCGGGTGCGGATAAAGCGCGCGGCGCAGGGAGGGCGCGCGCCCCCGCCCCGGGACCCTCCCTTCCACGCCCTCGGGAGCAGACCTCCCGGAGGGTGCGGCTCGCCGGCCCGCAGTGCCTGCCTCCCGGCGCCGCCCGAGGGGCTTCGGCTGGGACCGCGCCGCGGGCGGACCCCGAAGGCCTTGCCTGTACACGTCCCGGCGGCCCGCGGCCGTCCGACTTAACTCCTGGAGCGCGCGTCTCCATGGGCCCGGGGGTCGCGGGCGGCCCGGAGAAGCATGGTCCCGTCGCCCCCTAGCGGAAATGTCCCCGCCTGCAGCCAGGGGCAGCCCCTCGAGGTACCCGAGGCGCCGCGTGCCCCTCTCCCCCTGCGCCCGGGCGCTCGCCTCCCGCCGCCCGCGTCTTCCTCTTCCCGCTCGCCGCCTCCCGCCCTGCGAGTCGGAGGCGCTCCGGCCCAACCTGTCCGACAGGCTGGAGCACTCGGAGCGCCCGCGGCCCCCTCCCAGCCCCCACCGCTCGTGGAAGCCAAACTTGGCTGTCTCCTCGCGGAGGTAGCGGGGCCGGTGACAAGCCCGCCTCGGAGGAGCCTCCGGGAAGGCGTCGCGGGCGGCCGGCCGGCCTCGTCTGAACCCCTGGGAACGCAGACTCCCTGCGTCCCTCACGTCCGGGGGTTGCCCACCGAGCGCTCTCCCCAGAAAACGGCAGGCAGGGCTGTTGGCTCCGGAGAACCTCGACTGGGTCGCCTTGTGGCTGGTATCCGCCGCTCTCTTCCCAGGGCCCGCTCCCCGGGGCCGGGTTTTTAGGAAAAGGCTGGACACACGCGGAGGGCGCCCCGGAGGCGAGGGCTGGCGCGCGCCGGTTCCCGACTCGGTCCGGGCGCCCCGGGGGCCCCGGGCTGTCCTCGGCCGGGGCGGGGCTGCGCCCGCGCGCCACAGCTCACCTCGCAGTCCTCTTCGTACTTGACATTATCGGTTATCTTCCACAACATGGCGTCCGGGGTCCCCCAAAGCAGTCGCCAGTTAAATCCAGGCTCCCCCCACCCCCCGAGCGGTAAATCCAAAATTGGGGTCACGGTGGCCGGGCGTCTGCCGCCGCCCCCGCCACGCGCGGGCCTCGCCGTCCGGCTCACTGGACGCGCATCGGTGGCGGGGCGAGAGTGCGGATGCCGCTGTTGCTGCTGCCCCCGCGGGTGTAGACGTCGCTGCCCGTGGACCGGGGAAGCCGCGCCCGCACTGTGTGTCCAGGCGATAGCCGGGGGACCCGAGCGCCTTAATGGGAAGGAAATTATCATAACTCCTCCCCGGGGGCCGGCGCGGAGGCCCCGGCGCCGGGCGGGGCGGCCCCCAGCCTGGCTCCGCCCCGCACCCGGGCCTGGCGGCGCGCCGAGCCCCACGCCGCGAGGGGCGCGCGGAGGGGTGCGCGGGCGGCGCCTCGCTGTCAGTGGCAGACCTCCGTGGCCCCGGGCCCCCGCCGTGCCCTCCGCTGCCGCTCCCACGGCGCACACGCCCGGGAGCCGGGGGCCGCCACCGAGACATGGAGGGCCCCCAGTTCTTTGCCTCCGGGGCTGATGGAGTCGGGATGGCCTCCGAACTGTCAGGGCCCCCTCACCCCTGAGCCACACCTCCCGCCCCCCTGGGACTGTGGCTCTGGGCTCGGACCTTGCGTCTGGAGCCCTGGTCCACAGAGACGGGCCGCTCTCCTTCCTTCCCCCTCGCACTGCCGTCCTGACCCCTGAGGGGCGGGTGAGAAAAGCCCCCTGGGGGGAGTGCAGCCCCCCAAGCGCTGCAGACACCGTCCCGCAGTCAGGGAGCGCGGTGTCTCCCCGCTGTCGCCCACAGCTGCGTTTCCCCAGATGGCTGCAGCGGGGGCACCCGCGCCCGCCCTGCCCTGCGAGCCAGGCCCGCAGAGGCCTGGAAAAGAGAGGTGCGGGGCCGTGGAAAAGCCGAACGCCAAGGGCGGGCTGTGGCCGGGGAAGTGGCGGGCAGGGACCCGGAGCGGGAGTACCCGCGTTCTACAAGTGGAAGCGGAACGCGAAACCCCCGCACGAACGCGCCCACCTGCGTTTGCCATGCAGGCTTGGAAGCGACATGCACTGTTGATATTAAAAAATGTAAAGAAACGAAATCCATGGGGCCCGGTTATTATAATCGGCGTTTTCACTAGAGGGGGGGAGTTTCACCCGGCTCCCGGGGCTCCAGGTAAGCCTGCTGGGCGACGGGAGGAGGGGCCTGTTGTGATTTTTTTCTGATTGCGGTTTTGCAATTCTCGACAGCTGTCAGTACCGCGTCCCCGACCTGGCTCGGGGTGGCTGCGCGCTGGCCTGGAGGTTTAGCATTTGCTTAAGACCAGATGGGCCTAAAACCAAGGACTGAACACCTAGCGCAGGCAAACTCCCGGCCGAGCACGCCCCCTCGCCTCCAGCTCGTCCCCGGCCGGGTGTGACAGCAGAACCCGGAGCTTGGAGCCCAGCGCGTCTGCGGGACTGAGCGCCTGGACCGGCCCGTGGACACACGCGACCCTGACACCTCGCCTCCGAAGCCCCAGGGGCGCCGCGAGTGAAGTCAATCAACTACCGCAGAAGCAGCGCTCCCGGTACCGCGGGTGGGGGCAGGGGAGCACCTGCGCCCCGCCGGGACGGCAGCCGGAGCCGCAGGCCCAGGCTCTCGGCGGGATGGAGGCGGCGGCGCCTCCCTCGGGCGCTCCACACTCTGCACGGCGCCTCTGGGCCTCACAGCCCGCGCTGTCACCCCCAGGACTCCGGCTGCAGTGCAGCCTGGCCCAGCCGGCTCGTGGGCTTCCCGCAGCGGCACTCGCCTAACCGCCGGGGGGTGCCCCCTGCCCTGCAGCGTCTACGGCGGCGGCGATGGGCAAGGAGGATCCGGCGCGCCGCCTCTCGGGGAGCCCCGGCGCCGGAGGCTTCGGGACCGCCTCTCGGGGAGCCCCGCTGGGCAAAGGCCATTCATCCCCGTGCTAGCGGCCGGGACACTGGCGCCGGTCCCTTTCCGGGAGGTACGCGCTGCAGCCAGCGCGCAACCTCCGCGCCCTCGGTGGGGGAAACGACTCGAGCTCTGTCTCCGCGGCTCGGGAGATCCTGCCCAAACACGCACACGGTCGTCTCCAGGCAGGACCCCCGCACATGCGCGCCCTCGCCAAGGGACGGACGGCGCAGTCCTTGCATAGGCTCAAGCAAGGAACCTGGGGCTCTAGCACCCAAGGGCGCGCCCCCAGCCGGGATGAAGGCGCAGCCCCCTCCCCCCCCCCCACCCCGAGGCTGAAGGGAAGCGTGCCCCCGGCAGACCCCGAGGGCCTCGCAGCCGCCTAAGGATCCCAAGGCTCCTGGCCGGGAGGAAGCTGGGAGACGAGGGTGGAAGGTGGTCTGGGGCTCCCCTCTGTCGCCCCCTAGAGAGCCTGCACTCACACGCATCCTTGAAGCCCTGGACCCGCGCAGGCACCTAACCGGCTCGGGAGCCTGAAGATGGCCCCCCAAAAAAACCAGACTGAGACTGTCCGCGACCGGGTGCCAGCCCTCACTGTGCACCGCCTCCACAGACGCAGCTCCCAGCCCCACCCTGGGCCGAAGACAACGCCAGAGCGGGTAGAGATGCACATGGCCTGGCCTGAGACTCCCGGCCTCCCCGAGAGCCCGCGCAGGAGAGGCAGGTGGAGCCCCACCCGACCCCCACTCCCCGGCCCCCGCCAGCGCCCGGCGCACGCCACGTCTGTCCCGCAGCGTCCCCGCCTGCTAGAGCCCAGGCCGACCACAGCCAGTGGCAGCCCCGCCCAGCATCCGCGCCCCTGCGAAGCCACTGGTCTGAGAGCCCCCAGAACTGGCTACGCCCACGGAGGCGCATGCCCCGGGGCGCGCAGACATCAACTCACTACCACTCCAACAGAAAAACAACCCTGATGGTAGGATACTATTTAAATAATAGTAGAAGGGGTCCCCGTGCTAAGCAAAGCCCCGCTCCACACAGAGGTGCCCCTCACGGTTCGCTTCCAGCGCACCGCGCCGAAGACGCTTCTCGGCCTCCAGCGCTCGCTTCCTACACGCGGGCAAAAGGCGACGCGGAGCTGGGGGGCTTGAGGGTCCCGAGCTTCCAGGCCGCGCATCTGTCGCGGGTGCAGAGCCCCCACGCCTTGGCGCGATGAGCGCCAAACCGTGATTTCACGACCAGAGCCTCGGGCTCCACGGCCGTCAGTCCCGCGTCTCAGCCCGAGAAAGTGAATTCTCAGTCGCGCACCGACCTCCGAGCCACCGACGTTGGTTGCCTGTCTTCAGGGCCACCTTCCCAGTGACTCTTGGGGAGCCACTAAGAAACACGCCTGGCTCCTGTCTGCCCTGCTGGGCTCTCTGTCTCCAGAGGCCATGCAGGCTGGGCCGCAGAAATACAGCTGTCGCCTCCCCGCTAACGTCCCCGGGCCGGTCCCAGCGCCACCTAACCCGTCTGAGCACAGGTGAGAGGCCTAAGGCGGGGGCCCCGTGTCCCCGGAGGCCTTCTGGGCAGGGTGTCCCAGGTCGCCACACCTCCAGGCCAGCTAAGCCCGGCGGCTCTAACGCACTTATCTTCGGAGGAGGCCCACTGAGGCCAGGCGCAGGGACCTGGCTTGCCGCGCCAGCGATACCGGGCAAAAAAGGCAGGCCCGACAGCAGCCGGGGGCCACCCTGCGCCCTGCTGGGTGCCCGTGCCCCCTGGCGCCCCGGCCTCTCCTCCCTTCGGGGCCAGTGCTCGGGCTCGCCTCGCCGCCCTGCCTGCGGCTGGGATAGCATCTGCCCTCCGCCCAAACACCTCTCCTCTCACCGTTAGGAACTGGAAATTCATGTTGCCAGCTCGGCACTCTGCGAGCTGAGGCTCTCGGAGAAGGAGCGAGGCGGGAAGAGCTGCCCCAGCGCCGGGTCCTGTGCAGCGAACACCCGCTTGGAGCGTTTGTTTAATTAGCACCGGGGGGAAGGGTCGGGATTGCGCGGTCGCGATTGGAAGACCCACCTGGAAGGGCGGCCTCACTCCTCCCCTCGCCCTCCGCCCCCTGCCGCCCTCCGCTGACCGCTGCAAAGGGCCCTCGCCGGCTCCCAGCCACCCTCACGGGTGTGTCCCTCGGGCCGTGCTGGCCTCCTCCATCGGCAGTGACTTTAAATGTAGTCTACCTCTTACAGGCAGGGGCCTTTTTTGTTTCTGGCGTCTCCAAAAACAGAGCTGCTACCATGTCCGTGAACCCCGCCCTCTCCTTTGCAACTTTGATCTGGCTTCAGGCTTCCAGGTACCCCTGAGAGGGAAGGGGGGGGGGCAGTGACTTCCCTGGCCAGAGAGGGAAGGAGGCTGGGTTTAGAATCATTCTCAAGTGCCCGGAGAGATCTCAATGCACCTTGGGTATCAGGCTGTTTGCCTTAGGAAATTGACAAAAGTACATGATTTTGCTTTTTTTTTTTTTAATTTTCAAAAAACCAAGAGTCCAATACGGGCTTCTTAAGGACCCTAGAAACACAGAAATAAAGCTGGTTGTTGCCTACACCCTAAGGTTGCACGGCACCCAACCCACCCACCCCGGGGGCCCGGGGCCAGGCAGGAGAAGTGACGGTGGTGCAGAAGCTGAGCTCAGGACTGGGAGCTGGCTTCCCACAGAACCTGCAGGGCAACCAGCTCCTTCCACAGGGAGCCGAGTTGACAACTATCCAGAATGCTACCACGCGTGTCTACGTTAAAGAAGGGAGGTGGCAGGAGAAAGGGAGAAAGTTGGACTTCCTCCCTGCCTGCGGGTGACCTCCGGAGTCTGTTCCCAGCGCACCAAGAGACGCAATTGCAGAGCCGGCTGTAGGAGGAAATGGGAGACGGTGTCTGCACAGCCACCTTTCTGTGCGAAGGGTTGAAACGCTGACTCCTAGCCAGGCAGTCCTGGGTACATAGGAGGACTAGAAAATGATGCAGGGGAGTTCACCTGGAAGCAGGAGCCAGGACTGTTTCTTTTTATTTGTTTCCATTTCTGTTTTCCTCTTTGGTAAGGATTTCGCTCCTAATAGGTGTTATCCTATTCTAAGGGCAGCGTGCAGCGTGCTGCAGGACCCCACTGTGGGAGCAGCTGGGTGGACACAGGCCACAGCTATGGGCCAGCAGAGGGGTGGGGTTCAGGGCAGGGGAGGAGTGGAGCCACAGCCGGCTCTGCTTCGGAAAGGTTGGGTTTTGGTTTTTGTTTATTTTTCCCACTCTTGGGGAGGGGGTAGCGATTCGTGTCTTGTTATAATTTTTTCCCCAAATGAACACATTCATTGTTGTGAACATCCTGATTTTGTTTCAAATTTAATCCATAAAGGAAGATTTTTTTAAAAGTTCTGTTTCTGGTCATCTTTGTTCTTGCTACTGCGATTGCATTTTACTTTTCTAACAAAAAAAAAAAGAGTTGGGTAACCACAGGGAGTGCCCGGCATGCTCAGCGTCTTCAGAAACCTTGTCCTGGACATGAGTTTCAAAACTGGCACTCGGACGAGGTTCCAGCCTCCCCAGGGTCTCCCTCCTCAAGAGCGCGGGGTGGCAGTGAAGCTGGCGAAGGCCCCCTTGCAGAGATCCCGCTGTGTCTTCCTCACGTGGCCCACGAGCGCTGGCTCCCCAGCCGGGTGCCAGGCCCTGCGTGCTGCAAGTCAGAACTCATTTCAACAAGGCTGCAGACCCAAAAACAACAGCAACACGGCAAAGGCCAAAATATCACCATGGCAACCGGGGATCCAGCGGGGAGCCCTGGCCAGCAGAAGTCAACACCAAATGAGAACCAGAACCTAGCAGAGAGCCAAAATAGGATCCTTGAGATCCACTCCATGATATAAAGCAAACTTGGCCTCCAGATCCTTAGAACCAAGAGCTGGAAGTGCCTGCATCACCACTTCCTTGTCAAAAGAAACTCAGATAGGCTGGAAGGAGATCCAGAACTGAGCCTGTCCTGGCGGGCAGGCAGCCCGGCGCCGGCAGGTTGTTCCAGGTCGGCCTGTTTCCATCACATCCACTTTCTTTTCTTATTTATTTTTAAATATTTTATTTATTTATTTGAGAGATAGAGTTACAGATGGTGAGAGGGAGAGGCAGAGAGAGAGGTCTTCCATCCGCTGGTTCACTCCCCAATTGGCCACAATGGCCAGAGCTGCGCCCATTAGAAGCAGGAGCCAGGAGCTTCTTCCGGGTCTCCTATGTGGGTGCAGGGGCACAAGGACTTGGGCCATCTTCTACTGCTTTCCTAGGCCACAGCAGAGAGCTGGACTGGAAGAGGAGCAGCCAGGACTAGAACCGGCGCCCACATGGGATGCCGGCACTGCAGGTGGAGGATTAGCCTACTGTGCCACAGCGCTGGCCCCAGTCTCAATCACTTTCATGATTTGCCCGCTGGGAAGCTGTTGCCCAGGAGGAGCCTGGACTCTGTCTATGACGATGCTTCTGGAAGGAGGCCCCAGACACTGGAAACTCAGTGCTCAGGCCCACTGGAGCCCCTCTCCAAACCACACCTCTAAGACCCTGAACTTGTTTTGTTTCAAAGAAACAGTTTTTCATTCAGGTGTGCAATGTGTTAGAAAAATTGTCTCTGTATGCACTCGGGAGGAAGAGGGGGAGGTGGTGTTTAAAAGTCGGATCCATCTGCTTTCTCCTGTCTGTGTCTGCCTCCCTCCATCTAGCCTCCCTGATTCAAAGGATTAGATTATAAATCCAGTGTTAAGTTTTACTCGAGAAGTGATGAGCTGCAGCCAAGACATCCACAACCCCATCCCGCCCAGAGCTGCCAGTCCCCAGTCTCTCCTTCTGACTCCCTGGGACAAGTTAGAAACAGTCCACACGGCCCCCTGCACCTGTGCCCCTGTGATCCTGCGAAGGGCACACTCCTTTCAAGGCCAAATAATGGGAGGTCAACAACCAGGATCCCCATTAAGGTAAAGGAGCAACACTGGAGGACACACCCCAAACCTAATAACTAAGACCATTTAATGCAATATTTTAAAATGTAATCCAAGAAATCAAAGTGAGGGGGCAGCATTGTGGCATAGTGGGTAATGCTGCCACCTGCACCACTGGCATCTCCTATGGGCACCAGTTCAAGTCTCGGCTGCCCCTCCCCTCGCCTGCCCTCCCCTCCCCTCCCCTCCTCTCCTCTCCTCTCCTCTCTGACAGCAAGTCCCTCCCTGGCGCACTGCCAGGCCTTCCTCCCACCTCAGGCTTTTGACCAACTCCATTCACTTCTTTTTAAAATTATTTTTATTTATTTAACAGATAGAGTTAGACAGTGAGAGAGAGAGACAGAGAGAAAGGTTTTCCTTCTGTTGGTTCACCCCCCCAAATGGCCGCTACGGCCAGTGCTGCACCGACCTGAAGCCAGGAGCCAGGTGCTTCTCCTGGTCTCCCATGTGGGTACAGGAGAGGCTGCTCCACTTCTGATCCAGCTCCCTGCTACTGGCCTAGGACAAAGCAGTGGAAGCTGGCCCAAGTGCTTAGGACCCTGTCACCCACATGGGAAACCTGGAAGAAGCTTCTGGCTCCTGGCTTTGGAGTGGCCCAGCTCAGGCTGTTATAACCATCTGGGGAGTGAAAGCAGTGGATGGAAGATCTCTCTCTCTCTCTCTCTCTCTCTCTCTCTAACTCTTTTAAATAAATAAATAAATTTTTTAAAAAGAAGCAAAATTGAATGCAAAAAATACAGGAGGATCCAGATATCCAACTTTTAAATAAAGATAGGCTGTTTTTCATTATCTTGTATCTTTTAGAGAGATTTATTTATGTTTATTTGTAAGGCAAAATGACAGGAAGAGGGTGAGAGACAAAAAGAAAGGAAGAGACAGAGGGGAGAGAGAGAGAGAGAGAGAGCTTCCATCCACCGGCTAACTTCCCAAACACCCACAAAATCCAGGATCCAGGGCTGAGTCAGGCCATCCAGGAGCCCAGGAACTCCATCCAGGTCTCCCCTGTAGGTGGCAGGGACCCAAGTTTTTGGGCCGTCATCAGCTGCCTCCCAGTGTGTTCACAGGAAGCTGAGTTAGAATCCAAGAGTAGCTGAGATATGAGATATGGGCATCCCATGGGAAGGCTTACCCCGGTGGACACACCTCCCGCCCCCACTGCTGTGTGTTATCGCGGTAACGGAAGTTATTTCTACCCAGCTGCTCCAGGTGCCAAAGCTCCCCTCATCCCTGCCGGGCAGGTTACTGACAGCTAACCATAACGAGCAGGGTGGCAGGAGGGGCTTTCTGTGGGCACGGTCTTCTGACTGTAGATCTTTCATTGACTATTTCCATTTGGGAGGCTACTTAGCTAAGTGTCTGTGTGGATACACATTTCCCTTTGCCTCCGCCTCCAGTGTGGTCTGGGATCACAGCCTGTCCAGGAGAGAGGCAGCAGGCAGGCAGCTAAAGGGGAAGCCAACGCCTCAGCGCTGAGCATGAAAGACCAGGGTCCCACGTGCCTTGGATGCCATATTTCACTGAGGGTTGCCCAGAAGCTGGAGGGCTGCCTCTTCCCAGGACACACCTCATTCTCGCTGTCACTCTCTGGTTAAGACCATAGGTTGGTAGGCAAGTCTCTCAATGTTCGCATCTGCAACAGAGATAGCAAGAGTGTCTGTCTCACAGGGCTGGGGACTAAATAAGAAAGTGTAGCTAGTGTTTAAACAGTGCCTAGCACGTAGGGGTCTTACACAGTACCACTATGGAACAAATATTACAAATAAAAAAGTTACAAATATGTATTACACTACACTATGTTTGTATGGATTACACTATAATAGTTGCACTATTACAAAAATAAACACAGTCTGCTTACTGTGTAACAAATATCACAAATATAAGTGTTACACAGGAGCAGGTGTTGTGGCATAGCGTGTAAAGCTGCTGCCTGGGACGCCAGCATCCCATACGGGTGCCAGTTTGAGTCCTGGATGTTCCACTTCTGATCCAGCTCCCTGCTAATGGTCTGGGAAAAGCAGTGGAAGGTGGGTCCCTGTACCCAAGTGGGAGACCTGGATGAAGCTCCTGGCTCCTGGCTTTGGCCTGGTTCAGCCCTGGCCATTGCAGCCATCTGGGAGTGAACCAGTGGATGGAAGAGCTCTCTCTCCCAGTCTCTGTAGCTCTGACTTTCAAATAAGTAAATGAATCTTTAAATTAAGTGTTACACTATATCTATCTATAAGTATTACACTATAATAGTTACACTGTTAAAATACACATATTACATAGTACTGATTACTGTTGTAATCATTGAATTATCTCTTTCTTAAATTATTTTTATTTGAAAGGCAGAGACAAACGAAGAGTGACAGAGATCTCCTATCTGCTGATTCACTTCTTCAGTTTCCCCAGTCGTCATGGCTGGGCCAGGCCAAAGCCAGGAGCCCAGAACCCAATCCTGCACTCCCATGTGAGTGACAGGGACCTGAAGTATTGGCCCATTACTGCTGCCTCCCGGGGTGTCTGTTAGCCTTCCGGAATTGGAACTGGAAGCAGAGCTGGGACTGGAGACCAGGCGCTGCACTATGGGATGCAGGCATCTTACCCATGCTGTCGGACTTCTGCCCCTTTTCTTCTTGCTTTCCTCCTGTTTTTATTCCTTTTTTCCTGCTGGTTTTAAGTGCCAGGCTTAATGGCTGCCCCGTTGGGAGTCTGGTTTTTTGCTTTGGGTTGGCACTCTGTGTGCTTCGTAGCTGGCACGCGTTGCGGTGACTTGCTATGTTCTGCCTTTGGCCTGTGCTCCTTTCTTTTCTGCTCACAGAGGTGGGAGCCAGCACTGCGTCCATTTTGCATTTGAGGGCATCCAGGAACACAGCCATTGAGGAACTCCTGCTCCAGGGCCAGACAGGTGGCAGGAAGGGTGAAAGAGACACGAGGCGCTAACATGTCTGTTGGAAGCTAAACACACAAAGGAACAAGCTGAGTCAAGTTGTCTGTTATTAAAATAGCCTGGGGAACAAACAAAACCCAAACACAGGCTGTTTGGAGGCTGGGGACTGTCAGTGTGAGGCCGAGGGGGTTTGTGGGACCTGCAGAAATATAGACCGACTTTTCCCAGAGCTGGTGGTCAGATGTTAGCAGTCTGTAGTCTCTGCAAAGGGCCTGCTTGTTGCTGCCAGGAGCAAGCAGTGTGGAGAGAGCTGCTGAGTCACCATGTTGGTGGACAGAGGACTTCGCCCATCCCTAATTTTTGCCAAGGAGATGGCCCCGCCCCAAAGACAATGGCACATTTGCTATTCGTCTCTTCACTGCTGTTGCCAGTTCTGTTCTATTTTTTTTTTTTACTTGCCTGCTTTTCTATTGAGCTTTCTTTTTTTAGATTTATTTATTTATTTATTTGAAAGTCAGAATTACAGAGCGGGAGGGAGAAACAGAGAGAGAGATCTTCCATCTGCTGGTTCACTCCCCAAATGGCTACAACAGCTGGACCAGACCAAAGCCAGGAGCCAGGAGCTCCCTCCAGATCTCCCACGTGGGTGCAGGGCCCAAGCACTTGGGCCACCTGCTGCTTTCCCCAGAGCGTTAGCAGGGAGCTGGATTGGAAATGGAGCAGCCAGGGCCTACACAAGCACCCACTGGGAGGCTGGCTTCACAGGCCGAGGTTTTACCTGCTTCCACCACGGCGCTGGCCCCTCTTTTCTTGGAGGAAACACAGCCTGTTCCTGCCCCTGCCTCATCTCCCTGCTCCAATCTCCCAGACAAGCTTCAGAAGCAGCGTGTGACGTCACTCCCCAGACGCAAAGGCCCAGCATCTGCCAAGAATGAGGCTGAGGCCGGTCTCTTTCCAGCCTGGAAAGGCGGGCACCCGAGGCGGAGCTCTCCACCCAGGTGATCCTGCCCCAGGGGACGTTTGGCAAGGCCTGAAGCTATTGTTGGTTGTCAAGACGAGAGAGGGTGGTCCTGCCATCCAGGAGATAGAAAATAATCCCACACTGGACACAAGGCATATCTATCAACAAGAGGATGAGTAACGTGGGCTCTACATACGCAGGGCTGTTCTGCACAATCAAGAATACACCACTGCTGCCCGGGGAGCACTCAGGATCTCACAAGCCATGTTATGCAAAAGAGGTCAGACAGAAGTCTATGCTGGTGGGTAAAAGTTCAAGAACAGGCGAATTAACCAACGGTGGTAGGAGTCGGGATAGGGGTAGCTCAGGTGGGTGTGAAGGGAGTGGAAGAGCAGGAGGGGACCTTCTGGGTGATGGAATGTTCTAGGCGTTCATCTGGGCATTGGCCCCAAGAATGCACTCCCTGCTCAAGCGTTCAGTGACCTGCACACTAAAGACGCAGCTCTTGGCTCTCAATCTTACCAAGAGAAAACTGAAGTGTTTGACCTGTAGGGAGGACCTAATTAAACCAGGCATGGACATCACAATGAATGGACCTCACATGGTTGGTGATTTAGAACAGGTGTGAGTAGAAGGACAGTGATGACTTTGAGGATATGTATTTGGAATAATGGATTTTACATACTCTGTCTCCTAAGTCTAACCCCTAATGGTGTTGGCACAGCTGGATATACACAAGCAGAAGAATGAAATTAGACCCTTACTTCACCCATGCACAGAAACCATCCAAATGGGGCCAGAGGCTAACCCACCCCCTGCAACACCAGCCTCCCATATCCCAGCACCCACGCAAGTGCTGGCTGCTCGCTTCCAACATAGCCGCCTGCCGATGTGCCTGGGAAAGCAGCAGATGATGGCCAAGAGCGGCGTTCCGAGCTCTTGGCTTTGGACTGAATTAGCCCTGGCCATTACGGCCATCTGGGGAGGGAACTAGTGGATGATTACCCACCCCCACCCCCGTCTCTCTCCCTCTCTTTCTGTCACTCTGCCTTTCAAATAAATAAACCTTTTTTAAAAAAATCATCAAAATAGATAAAAGACTTAAGATCTGAAATTGTAAAAGTACAAGAAAAAAACATACAGCAAAAGCCCCACGGACCAGCACTGTGGCGTAGACGGTTAAGCTTCCGTCTGCAGTGCCGGCATCCCATATGGGCACCAGTTCAAGTCCCAGCTGTTCCACTTCCAGTGCAGCTCCCTGCTAATGCACCTGGGAAAGCAGTGGTAGATGGCCCAATTACTTGGGTCCCTGTACCCAAGTGGGAGACCCAGAAGTTCCTGGCTCCTGGCTTCGGCCTGGCCCAGCCCTGGCTGTTGCTGCCATTTGGAGAGTTAACCAGTGGATGGAAGATCGGAGTGAACCAGAGAAGGAAGACCCTCTCTCCCTCTCCCTCTCCAACTCCCTCTCCTTCTCTCTCTGTATTTCTGCCTTTCAAATAAATACAAATAATTAAAAAAGAGAAAAAAGTCCTGTGACATTGCTCTGGGCAATGATTTTTTTGGATGTGATCCTAAAAGCACAGGCAACAAAAGCAAAATACACACATTGGGCCACATCAAACTAAAAAGCCTCTGCACAACAAAGGAAAACTTCAACAGAGTGAAGAGACAACCCATGGACTGGGAGGAAATACTTGCAAACCGTACATATGGGGAGGGATCAGCTCCCAAAATATATAAGGAACTCCTGCAAATAACCCCATTAAAGCTCTCTTCTCTCTCTCTCCGTCTGCTTCTCTCTCTCTCTCCCCCTCTCTCCCTCTCTCTCTCTCCCTCCCTCTCTCCCCCTACCTCTCTCCCTCTCTCTCTCTCTCTCCCTCCGTCTCTCTCTCCCTCTCTCTCTCCCTCCGTCTCTCTCTCCCTCCCCCTCTCTCCCTCTCTGTCTCTCCTTCTCCCTCCCTCCCTCTCCCTCTCTCTCCCTCCCTCTCTCCCTCTCCCTCTCTCCCTCTCCCTCTCTCCCTCTCCCTCTCTCCCTCTCCCCCTCTCTCCCTCCCTCTCTTCCTCTCCCTCTCTCCCTCTCCCTCTCCCTCTCTCCCTTCCCCTCTCTCCTTCTCCCCCTCCCTCCCTCCCTCCCTCTCTCCCTCTCTCCCCCTCCCTCCCTCTCACCCTCTCTCCCTCTCTCCTTCTCTCTCTTTTTCCCTCCTTGCCCCTTCCCTCCAGTCTGTCAGGTTTCCCCCAATAAACCCTTTCCCTTAAAAAAAATGACCAAAACAGATTTTTCTCAAAAGAAGACACACACGGAGAATGTATCTGTGACAAAAGGCTCAGGATCCCTGGCCTTCGTGTTTAAAACTGCTGCCTAGAATGTCCTAATATGAGCTTGTGACCTGGTGTGAGACATACAGAAGGTACTCAACAAATATTTGTTTTATGAATAAAACTCACCTTTTCTCCAAAGTCTCTGTTGCTTGAGGGCACAAGTTTGTCTGATCCATGTGCGTTCATTCCCTAGACACAGGACTTGCGGTGGCTGACTGTAAAGTCTCTCTGACTCTGCAAAGAGCCCCATGAGTCAGGCCTGGTTTCCTCACCTCTAAGAGGAAGTAAACAAGGCTTGCCGAGACCACGGAAGTCGCCCAGGGCCACTCGCCAAATGCAAACCAGAGCTACCAGCCTCAGGTTCTGGAAAAGCTCGGCTGAGCTGGGACACTGGGCCTGCAGGGAGAGGTACTGCGCTCTCCATGAAGCAGTAGGACCAGGAAGTCTGGGAGGGGGGTGGGGAAGCAGGGACAGAAAAGAAGAGGGTAGGGGAGAGAGGATGCGGGCGCAATGGCTGCAGGGCTGCTGCGGGCTGGCTCCACCCGAGACCCATGGTCCCCAGCCCAGGCACTCATGGCCGCTGCGTCCCTGGAGGACTTTCCCTCAGCAGTGAGGTCCATGCCACTGTTCAGAAGGTCTTGAGGTCGACTCTTCCACACGCTATGAGCCCACATTTGCTCTTCCGTTCTGCGTGGTGGAATTCTCCATAGATCACGTGTGTGATATCACAGCAGATAGAAACAGAGGCACAGGGGCAGGTGCTGTGGCTTAGTAGTGGGTAAAGCCGCCGCCTGCACTGCCAGCATCCCATATGGGCGCCGGTTCAAATCCCGGCTGCTCCACTTCTGATCCAGCTCTCTGCTATGGCCTGGAAAAGCAGTAGAAGATGGCCCCAGTGCTTGGACTCCTGCATCTGCGTGGGAGACCTGGAGGAAGCTCCTGGCTCCTGGCTTCGGATCGGCACAGCCCCAGCCATTGCAGCCACTTGGGGAGTGACCAGCAAATGGAAGACCTCTCTCTGCCTCTCTATCTCTGCCTCTCTGTAACTCTGCCTTTCAAATAGATTAATTTTAAAAAATAGGCACAAATGAAAAGCCAGTGGCTTTTCTACTGACATTAAAAATATTCGCATTACATTTTCTTTTTCCTTTTGGAGAATATGGTTACTTTTTTTTTTTTTTTTTTTTGACAGGCAGAGTGGACAGTGAGAGAGAGAGAGACAGAGAGAAAGGTCTTCCTTTGCCGTTGGTTCACCCTCCAATGGCCACCGCGGCCAGCACACTGCGCTGATCCAAAGGCAGGAGCCAGGTGCTTCTCCTGGTCTCCCATGGGGTGCAGGGCCCAAGCACTTGGGCCATCCTCCACTGCACTCCCGGGCCACAGCACAGAGCTGGCCTGGAAGAGGGGCAATCTGGACAGAATCCGGTGCCCCGACCAGGACTAGAACCCGGTGTGCCAGTGCCACAGGCGGAGGATTAGCCTATTGAGCCACGGCGCCAGCTGAATATGGTTACTTTTTATAAAATATATTTTTAGATTGATGTGCAATAGTTTTGTTTTGTTTTGTTTTGTTTTGTTTTGACAGGCAGAGTTAGACAGTGAGAGAGAGAGAAAGACAGAGAGAAAGGTCTTCCTTCTGTTGATTCACCCCCCAAATGGCCATTACTGCTGGCGTGCTGCACCGATCCGAAGCCAGGAGCCAGGTGCTTCCTCCTGGTCTCCCATGCAGGTACAGGGCCCAAGGACCTGGGCCATCCTCCACTACCCTCCTGGGCCACAGTAGAGAGCTAGACTGGAAGAGGAGCAACCAAGACAGAATCCGGTGCCCCGACTGGGACTAGAACCCGGGGTACTGGCGCCGCAGGTGGAGGATTAGCCCAGTTAGCCACGGCACCGGCCAACAATAGGTTTTTTATTGTCACTTTCAAATAAATCTTTTTAATATCTCAGTAATGTCTAATACCATAAATATTGATGAGGATGTCAATCATTTTTTTAAAATGTAAAGAACAGTTACCTGTCCTTTTTGCTCCATATTCAAAAAGTCTACCCAGACCCAAGTCAGGAGTTTTTCTGGTAAGTTTTCTTCTAGAAATTTCATAACTTCAGGTCTTACAGCTAAATCTTTTTCCATTTTCAGTGAATTCTTGTGTCTGAATGAAGCAAGAGTCTAATTTAATTCCTCTCTGTGTAGATGTCCAGCTATACCAAGGCCATTAGGCGGTAAACTTTGGAAACAGAGTTTGTAAAATCCATTATTACAGGGGCTGGTGCTGTGGCACAGAGGCTTTGCAGCACTGGTGTAACATATGGGCACTGGTTCAAGTCCTGGCTGCTCCACTTCTGATCCAGCTCCACATGAATGCGCCTGGGAAAACAGCAGAGGATGGCCCCTGCACCCACATGGGAGCCCTGGATGAAGCTCCTGACTCCTGGCTCTGGCCTTGCCCAACCCTGGCCATTGTGGCCATTTGGAGAGTGGACCAGTGGATGGAAGATCATTCTCTCTCTCTCCCTCTGTCTCTCTGCAACTCTGACTTTCAAATGAATAAATAAATCTTTTTTTTGAAAAAGTAACTGCTGTAAGTACCATTATAAAACAGAACATAAATGCCATAAGTAATCCTAAAACAAAAAAAAGTTTCAAAAAATCCATTATTCCAAATACATATCCTGAAAGTCATCACTATACTTCTTCTTAAACCTATTCTTTTTTAAATATTTATTTACTTACTTATTGATTTGAAAGGCAGTTACAGAGGGGGCAGAGAGAGAGAGGAGAGAGAGAGAGAGAGAGGTCCCCCATCTGCTGGTTCACTCCCTAAATGGCCAGAGCTGAGCTGATCCAAAGCCAGGAGCCAGGAGCTTCTTTCAGGTCTCCCACATGGATGCAGTCCCCAAGGACTTGGGCCGTCTTCCACTGCTCTCCCAGGCCACAGCAGAGAGCTGGACCAGAAGTGGAGCAGCCGGGACTGGAACAGTGCCCAGCATCCCACATGCTGGCTCAGCAGGCAGCGGCTTTCTCTGCTGCACCACAGAGCCAGCCCCTACTTAAACCTGTTCTAAATCATCAGCTGCCTGAAGCTAATTCATTTCTTCATGATTTCCATGCAGCAGAGGGACTACGTTCTGTAACCAATGCCTAGATGAAGACCTAGAACATTCCATTACCCCAGGACTGTGAGAATCTCTGCCCTTTGATGCCTTTGGTGTGTAGCCAGTAGGCAACTGCTCTTTTGTCACATAGCTAAACGAATCGATGAAAGAATTACCCAATGAGTAAGTAAGTGAAGCAAGATTGATGTGTTTGAGTGCATTTTGGGTTATAAGCTTTTCTCTCCTAACGTCCAGAGGAAGAAGAAGCAGGAAGGGGCAGGGGAGCAGGCTGGCTGGGCGAATCCACCAGGACCCAGCTGTGGACAGCTACAGCTTCCTCCTGTGTAGGACACAGTTGAGAATGTTCTGCTTGGAGCAAGCAGTTAAGGTTCTTGGGTCACCTGCATCATGTATGCCGAGTCCTTGGGTTCCAGTCCTGGCTCCACTTTGGACTCCAGCTTCCCGCTAACGCACATCCTGGACGGCAGAGGTGATGGTTCAAGTACTTGGGTCCCTGCCACCACATGAGAGGCCTGGATGGAGCTCCTGGCTCCAAACACCCTGGTGCCAAATGCCACCCCTGGAATATCTCTTTGGACAGGACTAACAGAAGGAATGAACAACTGAATGGAACCAGGGAAGTCCAAGAAGACGAAGGTCAGGCTGCAGACTGTACCTCCGAGGAGCCTGTAGTGGCAGGAGAGGGAATTCAGGGGACATGGGGTCCAGCTTCCATCCCGGGCCAGCTGATGGTGGCGTCCATAGCCAGCGTTCACTCCCAGCACTGCACAGCACGGAGCAGGTGTCTGGGCTCCGCGGCAGCCCTGCATCTCTCAGGGGGCTTCTGTGTGCTCCACCCACCCTGTGCCCTGCAAGTTTTCCCCACAGGTAGGGTCAGGTGAGGTCAGGGGCGCAGGGGATGCCCTTCTCCCTCCCAGGTACTGACGGGCAGGTGACGCCTGGAGACTTGGGTGCCAAATCCCACCAGGCAGGCTTTGTCTGTTTTAATTTTTTCCAGGAAAATTGTAAACCAGACGACAGAGGAAGAGGGAGGCTGGGTGGCTGAAACCATCACTGGGTGCAGCTGGGTGCTGAGCTCTCTGTGTGATGCGCTCACTTCATCCTCTCAACACCCCAGGGGATTCAGAGAGGGCTGCCCAAGGCCCCAGAGCCAAGTCCAAGCTCACATCTTGGACCAAAGCTTGGTACTAACTGCTAGGCATCCCGCCTCCTGCGAGGAAGGGGATGGCCCCTTGGATATGAGCTTGAGATCCATCATAACCTCAGTAAGTGCCTGGGCATCCCCTTGGCAGAGAACAAGCCCAGGGGAGGCGATGTCTGACCAGTGTCTGGCCAGTGTCCAGCCCTGCACGGCAGGACCACATCAGGCTGGACCCCGGCAGTGTCTCACCTAGACTTCCCAGAGGGTCTGTGGATAGCCCCCTCTCCAGGACTCCAGAAGCAAACAGTCTCAGGAGGTTGAGGGCTCGGTTAGTGCCAGAGCCAGCAACGCACCGTCTGTGACCCGCAACAAAGCTGCCGGCCACAGCTGCCTTCTCCGTGCAAAGCTGTCCAAGTGCACGGAGCCCCTGGTCTCCGAGTCCCATCGGACTTCATCCCTCAGTAGAAGTCACCCAAGTTCCCCGTGCCTCCGTTTCCCCACATCTGAAATGGAAGTGGGAGTGGATGGTTGGTGTATCAGGTAAGCCCCCACTTGGGATGCCCACGTCCCATATCAGAGTGCCTGCGTTCACATCTTGGCTCCATTCCCAATTCTAGCTTTCTCTAATGCCTGCTGAAAAGCAGTGACAATGGCTCAGGCGCTTGGATCTCTGCCTCCCACATGGCATCGACCTGGCCCAGTCTCGGCTGCGGCAGGTGTTATGGAGAGTGGACCGGTGGTTGGGAGCTCTCCCTCCATCTGTCTGTCTCTGCATTTCACATAAATAAAAATAAATAATTTTTAAAAGCTAAAACAGAAACGGTTCTCTCAATCTCTTGGGATTTGGGGGAGGGAGAAATGAGAAGATCAGGGTCTTGACCTTGGTGGTGGGGCCGTCAAGTCCACCCTGTGACTCCCTATCTCTGGCATTCACTGGATCCCTGGGCTGGGGTTGGAAAGGTAAACAAACAAGAAGAGAAGCTGTGTTCA